ACATTTAAGAGCTTATTTCGTGTTGTCACTTAAAAATTGGGTATTGAGTTTTCGTGAAAAATTAATAAAAGTTTAATAAATATATTTTTCACTTAAGTTCACACAGCTAGATTTATTCTGACCTTTATTTCATAGATATTGAAAGAAAACTATAGCAGGTACGATAAAATTGATAACCTACCATGTGGTAGTATCCACACAAGTCCAAAATACTGACTAAGCTGTCTACTAACTACTAAACATTTCTTCAAAGAAATTCTCCCTACTCAAACTTTCCTACAGAACCACAGTGAGATTCAGGACTATTATTATATAGCAGAATTGTAATTTACGCCAGCGGCATAAAGGTGGAGAAGTGAATTCAATAGATATTAATGTAAATTTCAAACTGAAGTTTTATTTAACCGATCTGAATAATTTTTTTGTACCAATGTGTGTTTGGTAAAAATACTACTATTGATTGCGTGTGGTTAGACTTGTTAGACTCGCCCTGGATTCTTGTGACGTTAATATAACATTTTTATGATGAAAATATATATACATAATGTACTCTTATTTATGATCTTTTATTTATCATCCTCTATTTCCTTTATTTATAACGCGGTGAGTGCGTCCATGCAATGATAGTGTTATCTTACTGTTTAAAAAAACAGCAAACTTAAGAGGTATAAAATCAATATAGAGATAGGCTATATTTTATTCCATACCGTAGGAATATTAAAGTGGTAAAATGGGCATAGATAAAGAAAATACATTTACCCCCCCCCCCCCCCACTATTTGGGAGGTTATTTAAAGACAGGAATTAATATTACTAAACTATTGATCGTTTCAATAGTAAGTGCTGGGGGACTGCACCACACAAAATTTACACAAAAACAAATACACGGACAAGACATCATACTCAGAAAAACACAAACAGACAAACAATTTAAAAAAAAGAGAGTGTTTAGCTATCTGGGAATTCACTCAGTGAACTTTCTTATACTTACCGTATCCTTTACTTTGTATACCGACCTTAAATATGCCACCACCGTAGTTAAATCTTACCACATAATGGTTTTTGACCGCAAAAATATGTTTATTTAAACAGAATTAATTTGTTACATTTTTTATTCAGATATCTTCACTTTAAGTAAAAAATGTCACTGCCTTAGGCCCTCCTCATTATTGACACGGTGTAAATTATAGTGTAGATTTATTGCACGGATATAATTATATTACGTTAATACTGGCCAATATTAAACTGCTAACAAAGTGACAGAAATAGCCTCTAGCTAAAAGGGCTTTAAGTTAATTCACGAAAGTATTTTGATAGTTGAGAGTACATTATGTTTTTACAAAGAACGTGAAAAGAATTACATATAATATCGTCCTTTTGAATCATTGCGGTTGTGAATGATGGTTTTTTATAAGTTATAATTCATGGATTTATTTTACTAATCGGGTAAAGTATTGATTATTTTTAAATGGATTGTAATCTGTTTGTTTATTTTAACCTCAAGTTTCTTGTCTTTGTATAACATATATTTATACTTTATATGAATGATTACATTGACATAGTATATTATATTCAATTGATATATCACTATGTATATCCACTTGATCACTGACGGATCATGACGAGGGCAACACAGGCAAATGCCTAGGGCTCGGCGGTTAGGTGACAGAATTATTTTTTTTTTAATACTTTGTAGAAAAAATTAATAAAGACCCATTTCCCAAAAGTCGTGAAAAAAGTTGCTTTTTTCTCGATAGGTGTTGAAATTATTAGATAGAGGGACCACTAGGGGCCTCGGTCCGAAAAGAAATTGATATCAACGATTCCACTTTGGGCCGGGGGTCAGCGGGAAGTTGATATCCAGAAATGTTTCCGTAACCAGAAACCCGAAATATCATTTCTTGTTGATTGTCTAATATTTTCGTCTGGTCCCCGTTTCTCACTCAACCAGCTGGCTTGACAACAAGAATCGCGAACCGGTGTCATCGGGCCAGAACTTACTCGTGTACCAATGTGCCTATGGCAGTGCCCCCCCCCCCACCTTATCACACCGACCACCATTTCAGGTCGAAATTTCTTGGGGGGGGGGAGTACCCCCGGATCCCCTAATTACAAGAGGGAGAGAAACCCCCCAGGGTGTCATCTTGTCACTAAGGCCCGGCGGCCACATTGCCACAGGGCACGGCGACCTCATAATCCGTCACTACATTTGATATATATTTTACAATTCTACGGAATATAACAACTGCTGTTTATGACCGAGCGACATTTCGATTAGGAATTTCTAGTATTTATCATGTTACAACGAACATACGGTTACTTTTATTTGCTATGGACACGTTTAAAAGGGTATCATTAAAAAACAAAATGAGATACAAATTGGTTATGAGGTCTGAAACTGAATCTCTATGACACAGACTATATATCATCCACCAGAGAACTCAAGATTATTAACAATATCAAAGGTTCTGATGCCATGGATCATCTAGATTTTAATCGCGAACAAATTCTCTAGCCAGACGACTATAGCGATCCCTAAATTTGGGAAATGTAGGTCCATATAAATGGAAATGAAATGAAATGAAATGGGGTTTAACGTCCTACTGTTTTGCTCCTAAACTGGGCTAATGAATACGGGCATACGCCATACAGTGTGCTATTGAGGGAAATTTTGCCCGGGCAGCGGCGCTACGGCCTACTCTTATATCAAATTCCAACTGTCAAGGGATGTTTTACGTGCACGCCAATTTGTACACGGGACCTCGGTTTTTCGTCCCATCCGAACGACTAGACAGCTGTCCTTTTCAGGCCCTCCGTCCTGCATCACTGACAAGGGGAAACCACGCCGGAAAATCTGGATGAACTTTCTCGGCAAATGCAGGGATCGAACACCCGACCTCCAGGCTAGCGAGCCAGCGTCTTACCCACTTAGCCACGTGACCCCCCCCCTCCCATACAAATGGCCTCCTCTCTATAAATGAAATGAAAGCCTTTGACTTCGAGTGAAAATTGTTGGGTCTATTCATAATTTGATTTTGCTTTGGTGCAAAACCCCCATTTCATAAAAACACCATAAAACAAATCTCTTAAACCCCTTTTCGTCTGAGGAATTGCTTAGAGCAATATTTGATATACACAGTAATACCAATTTACACCAATTGACCTTGTCTAGGTCTTCAGACTGCATCAGATAGACAACAATTACCGTCTTTATCCACAGATCAGTGTCCTGGATACCTGGGGCTAACCCTGATTTTTATTATTATTGTAAATATGTAGTTATCTAATTTACTCCATACAACAAAAGGTCATAAATGGTTGTTCAAAATTTTATTATTAGAATTCATCAATTTATGAACCATACTCTCTCATGTGTTGACTAACTCAGGGTTTAGAAGGTGAGAATAAGTCTCAGTTTTATGGAATTAGGATAAAATTGTTTATGGATTCAGTGGAAATCTCAAAGTTCCTGTCAATCTTCATTTTTATGATCTGTCATACCATGGAGGCAGGATTAAGATTTCTCCTTCAGCAAATTGTTAAAGGAGTGTATTAATGTTAGCGCACAGGTAGGGTTATTTGTAAGCGAAGAATGCATTTATGGATAAAAGGAAAACCGTCACGATTCATATAGTTGTTGTAGCTGCGATGGCTCAGTGAGTAAGACGTTGACTCGCTAACCTGGGGTTCCTGTGGTCGATCCCGCTATTGACCGAGGATTTTCCTACGTGGTCCCCTCCTTGTCAGTGGTGCAGGACGCAGGGCCTGGCACGGGACGTCGTAGTCATTCGGATAGGGTGAAAAAACGAGGTCCCGTGTATACATCGGTGTACACATAATTGAACTCTTGACAGTTGAAATTCGAATAAGAATAGGCCGTAGCGCCGCTGTCGACGCAAAAATGTTAACTTATAGCACACTGAATGGCATCTCGATCGTTAGTGCTGTCGGTGCAGAACAATAGGACGTTAAACCCCATTTCATTTCATATAGTTACACCTTTTTTTTTTAGCTTCTTTCCACCCCGTGGTGTTAGCACCCTAAGGAGTTATCTGATATTCTTCTTCTAGTCATGCGGACCGTATGGTTGTCACCGGAATCAACCGTTCATGGTCACATCTCGACGGAGCTCAGGCGAAACCACAGGGTTTAAAACCAAACCCATTAGCCCAGTTGGTGCAGAAATTAGGATTTTAAACCCAATTCCACATCTTTTAAATGTCAATTAGATTAATATTGAACAAAGATGAATTACTGCAACAGAAGTGTGCGCTGAAATATGATAGCTTATCGCCCACAAAGCGCGATGTTGAATTGTACTACAGCCGACATAGGAAATGCGCTGAATTATCGTCAGATCGATGCAGCTAATACCGTGGAATCCGACACTAATACAAATGTGATTAAGAAAGAATATCGGATTAGCAATTAATAACGAGGGGGGGGGGGGGGGGTGGTGGATGGCCGAATGGTTAGCACGTGCGCGCAGTATCATAAGGTCTGTCATTGAGTCAACAGGCGTGGTTTCGATTTCCCGGTTGTACGTGACAAGGAGTAAGGTCGCCTGTCCAATCGCCCACTGCTAAAGACACCTACGCGAAAGCGAATTATTGAAATAAAATTGAACCATATGTTATTCCCTAAATGACGTTAAACTCTCTCTCTCTCTCTCTCTCTCTCTCTCTCTCTCTCATGGGGATTATTGGGCGACTATTGATCAACTAATACTGTTTGGGGAATATTTAAATCCAATTAGGTTTTGACAGAGACCAACCCCATCTCACATCCTGCAATTACCATCCCCATCACCACCTAACAACAACTACAAGGCAACAACAGCGCAACAACAAAAACAACAACAACAACAACAACAGCGACGACAACAACAGTTGTTGCATTACAACTGCACTATTGGAACCAGGATGTCAGTATAATGTTTTCTTGCCCCTTTGTGCTGCGTTACATTATAAAATATGTAAACATTGTTATTGTTTGTTACAGGTGACTAGAAGATGAACCCGCTATCATCAATTCTAACATGGATGTGTATCCTTCCAATTATAGGTAAGGTATATCAAGTATACTTTTTATAATTAGTTGGGATGTAGGCAGAGAAGGATTATCTGGATTTCCAAACTCATTTTTGCGGTTTGGCTTGGTACCAGATTTAACTTGGTACCGTATGTTTCTATTTGTATGACTAGCGACCTTATCCTTAGTTTTTTCTTTGCAAGTAAAATAGTAGACATATTATAAAATACAGTACTCAAAATCTATACGTAGACACAATAATATGTAAAACAAAAAATACACGATTAGATAAGAAACACTACGGAAGACCATTAGAGTCAATCAAATGAAACAAAAGTATTCGGATTGTCTTGTTACAAGATACAGTGTAGTTATTTTATATAACTACCTTGTTATTATTACAAGATAACTATCCTGTTATTATGACAAGTTTACTATCTTGTTATTACATTATTATTTTGAAAATATTTTTCAAAAACAGTAAAAATGTGCATCAAAATTAGCTGAAAATGTTGTGAAATGTAGTACTACACAATAGAATAAGGACACCGAGTAAGAAAAATTTTGTTAGAAACACCACAGACCAACAATTTTCGAAAATATTGCCAATCCGTCAATGTTACACAGGCGTTTCAGTCGAACACTCGATAGGAAAAAGTATTTTTCTAAAATGATTTGCTCCATGTAGGCCATGACTAGGATTTTTAATAAATTAAGTTAGTCTAGATAGATCCGTGCTAGGTTAGTCCAGGGTTATTGCGAATATGATATTATGCAAAATTATCTGTAAATCCCTTTAATGATAGTATTTGCTTTATTTTCCAGGAGCAGAATTTGTGAGTCTCTGTTATTTTACCAATTGGGCGAATAGTCGCCCTGTTGAGAAAGTTCGCTTTACTATTGAAGACATTAACCCATATCTGTGTTCACATCTAATCTATGCCTTCGCAGTCATTAAAACGGATCATACGCTAGGTGCTATGTCTAGCGGAGAGACAGAACGATATAAAAAATTCAACGACTTAAAACTGAAAAACGGAGAATTAAAAACATTGTTATCTGTTGGGGGACAGAATGCAAAATCTAAAACGTTTGCAGCTTTATCTTCTAAAGCCCAAAACATTGAACATTTTGCCAAGACAAGTGCTAAATTTTTAAGAGATAATGGATTCGATGGTATTGATGTTGATTGGGAATATCCGGGCGAGACAGAAAATACGAAACAACAATTTACAGCTTTACTAAGAGTAAGTACACCTTCTCTTTAACGCCCAGTTTATAATTAAAATCATTACGATAACTGAAATTAAATGGGGTCTTAACATCCTAGTTTTTGGCATCAACCGGGCTAATGAAGACTGCCAGTCTGATTGAAATACAGATCTATATTTCGTTTCGTTTTTTATACACTCGATGGCCTCCACTACATGAAGATCTGACCAGTTGTCGCGTCAGTGGTCATACGAGTGTTTTTTGACCCTATGAGGTCAGACTTGATAAACCAATCAGCGTTGATGTTTTCAATGGGACACCCACGCCAAGAACTCACCACAACAGACCGTTCCATTGGCTAATCCCTCAGATCAACCAGTTATATAACAACTCTTCCAGATCCTAGTGTAGTAAAGACAAGTAAAACGATATTTTGAACTACCTGTGTTATGATCATATTGGAAGACTGTCATACACGCCATGTAGTTTGCTATGAAATCAGTTTTGACAAGACTGCGGTGTATCCGCCTATTCTTTATCAAAGTCCAACTGCCAAGGGTTCTTTTACTCCTAAACAAACGAATACACTAGTGAACCTCGTTTTTGTCTGTATTATCCGAAAGACAAGAGTGTTTTAACTGTCAGGTCCCAAACTTTCTTTTCCAAAACCCTTCTCAGAAACGTAGGACTAAATTCCAATTCATTCATCTATACAAGAGATTGCGATCGGAACCACAACACCTGACCCTTTGACAGACCTGACAACCAGACCCTTATCTGTGTAGGACGTTTTTATTTGTCAAACAAAGAGATGATAGGATTCGTCAAGGCATTAATAAGGTTCCGCATAAAAGGAGCATAATTATTGATTATAGTTGAAAGTATTGAAAAGTAATAAGTAATACGTGTATGACTTTGGGACGTATATTGTTTATTGATATATAACCTTTTAAAGTTTTGTATATTCTTTGCAGGGTTTAAGAGAAGAGTTTGAAAGAGAAACTAAAGAATCTGGTAAACCAAGACTCATAATATCCATAGCAGCACCGGCTGGAAAAAAACGTATACATGACGGTTACGAAGTGGAACAAATATCTAAGTAATTTTCGTGTTTTAGCCCTTGGACATTGTTTTTCCATACTTCAGATTTTTGTCTGCTTCATGCAAGATATTTATGTTTGTATTTTCACTGTCGTGTGTGTATTTTCACTGTTCAGTACTAAACTATTTCACTGTCCAAGGATTTCATTTACCGTGTTGCCGTGTGGCGTGTGTCAAGTGTCTCTTTAAACATACCTTATGCAAGAGCTAAATCTGCCTATTGCAGGTCTTTGTTTAGGCCTGAAATGTTATCTAAATTAGTAATTAGACATTAGTTAACTTATCCAGACTATAATCAACTCTCGGTGTTTTGGCTTGCCTGCGATATTTACTGGATTGGAATCCGATCTGCTGCTCAACGCTCGTTGATCATTAAATAAAAAATGGATAATCGAGACTATGTTTTTTTTATCGTACCGACCTTAATGATGATCGAGACTAGGCCTAAAATTCAACGCCTAAATTCTCGGTTCAGAGTGGATCGATTTGACTGAAATTTTTAGCAAATTCCCTTTACATTATCTAGTTTTTTTTAACTATCATAGTGAGAACTGCCAGCTCTTTATCTAATCTCACATAATGTATCTTTAACTGAAACGTTTGATGCAACCAGAACGGCGCATGTGCATAAACGCGTAGGCGTTGCTATAATCCTTGAATAAAGCCCCCCCCCCCCCCCCAACCTCCCACCTTTCACTTGGTACTGTGAAGATAAATCAAATTATCTGTTTTCTAATTGTTCATTTTGTTTTTCGTGATTCTTTCTTTTTATATTATGTTTTATAATAAATTGCATTTTTGTATAAATCAGGTATGTGGATTATATAAATATTATGGCGTATGATTATTTTGGACCATGGAATAAAATTGCTGGATTTAATAGTCCACTCAATCCTAGAACATCAGATCCAAGATTTTCAGACCAGTTGAACCAGGTAGGCAAAATAAATCTTACAAAAACTAATTTAATTGATATTATAAGTTTATATAGCTTATATATGTTTATACATACATTCATGTAAAATGAATAATTTGAAAATTTCATTTAAATTACTCTATTGCGAACACGGATATTAACCATTGAAGGTTTGACAAGACGTGTGCAAAAATTTCAATCACCGTACTGGTTGTTCGAAGTTAAGGCTCGCTCCTCCATGTAATCTATTTAATATCGGAGAAAACCGACGCCATCGAGAGTTGATTATGGCCTGGATAAGTTAATTTAGAAAAAATGTATAATTAATAATTTAGAAAACATTTCAGGCCTAAAGAAAAACCTGCAAAATAGGCATATTTAGCTCTTGCATAATGTATGTTTAATTAGACATTAATTAACTTATCCAGAACATACTCAACTCTCGATGGCATCGCTAGCCTGGGATATTTACTGCATTAGGATCCGATCTGTTGCTCAACGCTCGTTCATGATTATATCACAAAATGAATAATCGAGACTATGTTTTTCTTTTATCGTACCGACTTTAGTAATGATGTTCGAGGCTAGACCCATAATTCAATCGCTAAATTCTCGGTTCAAAGTGGATCAATTTGACTGAAATTCTCAGCAAATTCCCTTTACTTTATATAGTTTTTAACTATTATAGTGAGAAGTACCAGCTCTGTATCTAATCTCCCATAATGTATCTTTAACACGTGGTATGATATTCCATATATGGATATAGAAGACATCTGAGCTCGAAATTCATTCGTAAACTGCTTACACACAAAAGTAGTTCAAAATTTATTTATATCGAATTCCAGCTGCCAAGAGATCATTTATGTGCACACCAACGTGTACACGTTACCTCGGTTTTTCGTCCCATCTGAACGACTAGACAGCTGTCCTTGTCAGGCCCTGCGTAAAGCACGACTGACAAGGGAAAAACACGCCGAAATGTTCTGATGAATTGTCTCGGCCAACACCAGGAGTGAACCCGCGACATTCAGACAAGCGAGCCAGCGTCTTACTCACTTAGCCACCGTAGCTCCCTTGTATGCTACTTACAGTTTGTGTATCTTGAGATTTCCATGGTGAACATCATACTGCCTTTGAACAAGAGGTAGTCATATGTTACTCCAACCGTTGATAGAAAACGATCAACTCCACGGAAATTTGGGAAAAGTTAGAGCTGGTCAAGGAGACGAGAATTAACATTAAAGGAGCTAAATCGCTAATATTTGGTACCTAGAAATTGACACAGATGGGTCGCAACACATATAATAATGTAATATTAATGTATATAAACTGATTTACATTCAATCGTTTCTGTTTTTAATCTAATTTCAAACCAGTTATGTTCGGCGAAAAACGCCAGAAAGTCTCAAGAACTAGATATGAGCCGCTCACAACGCTAGATTTGTGACAAATAACCCACAGCTCAATTATTATTCCTTTACAAAGAAATATTAAATGTCCATTTTTCAGAAATGGTCTGTTGGTGAATGGTTACGTAATAAAGCACATAAAGAAAAGATAGTAGTTGGTATGACTGGTGCTGGTGCTAGTTTTACATTAAATGATTCATCAGTATTTGATGTTGGTGCTACTGTTGATGGAGGGGGTACTACAGGTACTTTATATCTTATAGAAGGTCGACTTGTTTACCCCGAGGTAAGATCTTTAATTCCTTTTAATAACTTAAACCCTAACGATTTCCAATTACTTTTAAGGAAACGGTCAATAGTTATAAGATCGGTTAATCACCAGGAAGGCAACCAACAGTTTCCCAAGCTGCGTCACAGTTTTGACTTTGATAGATATTGATTCGATAAGTAAGCAACATATTTAGATAGAAAAAACTTTAAAAGTAGAATCATCCCCCCCCCCCCCCCCACACACACACACCGCCCGCCTCTCCTTTTTAATACAACCCTTTTTTATAGATCTGTGAGATGATAAAGCAAGGCGCTACTGTGAAATACGATGATGAACAGGAAGTACCCTATGCTTACAAGGGTAATCAATGGGTAGGATATGACGATACTAGGAGTATTCAAGCTAAGGTAAGATATCACCAATACATCGCTTTACTTTGGTCTAGGATCTCTAGTCAAGTTGATAATTGAAGGGTTAGAACAGGGACTATTAAGTTAGACCCCATACTTGAACGCTCGTGTGGAACTTATGCATTAGATCTGGATGTCAAACTTAAGAATTAGATCGAGTGCTTTTAATAAATGGTAGGTCGGACCCAGAACAACAACTCATGGGTTGGACCGCGTGTTCACGGCTAAGACAAGCATTAGACTCAAAACATTAACTTTTGAATTAGAATTAAAAACGCATAACAGAGTTAACCTGGGTCAGACTGGAACCCAAAGCTCGGTACAGGACTCGGGATTATACATGAAACTAACACTAACAGTTAGTTGGAAATGACATCTACTGCATTCCACTAATTTTCCAATTTGACCGGGGGATGCTGACAGACCACCCGTCATGGGATTCGCGCCCTCGACGCTCGCAGATGGTCACTGAAATTTCTGGATCAGCCTATTGAATATTTGTTCTGGCTAGCGAGGATATAATTTCGGTTGTCTTTTTTCATCTCCAGTATCTACTACAGTGACGGTTGACTAATGTAGGCTCACAAGTTCTATAATAGATCAGGCGAGCAGAACAGTAGGATGTTAAACCCCATTTCATTATTTCATTTCATTTCTAATAGATTTGGTGCCGTCCTTGCAAAAAATGAAGATTCTATAGGGATAGCATGTGCTTACCTGATAATACTTCACTATTGGTTTATTAACATATTTTAAAATTTTCCCACTTACGCGCAGTATTTGCATTATCACCTTAAATTACAGGTGAAATGGATGTTGGCTGAAGGGTATGCAGGAGCCATGTTTTGGTCAATGGATTTCGATGATTTTGCTGGCAACCATTGTGGAAAGGGCAAATTCCCATTACTTACAGCCATGCACAACGAGATCATAAAAGCTACCAAACCAAATGTACCTACTGTCACACCTGATGCAGTCTTATATCATAAACCTGGTGGAGATGCCTCTCAACTTGTGATTTGTCGTTTTGTTTTATGTATAGCATCGTTTATAGCGACAGTGTATATTGTTTGGGCTCATTAACGGGTAATTGTTCATAGACTGTCAAGTTTGAAATACCGTTTTTCCTCAAAAATTTTTTTATGGTATATTCGACATTATGTTCTTATCAACGCGAACAGTTCTTCCATAGCTTCGATTATACGTATTCAATTAGGATTGAACCAATTTTGTATATAGTGAAAATGAGGCGTATTTGATTGCGGCGAATACGAAACTCCGAACCTGCTTTGGGTGCCGATTATCAAATTCAAATACGGTGGCTAACAACATATGTGTAGTTGTCTCCTGGTTAAATATATGTCGATCCACAAATGTGTTTGTGACTCGTGACTCCAAAAAAGGAATCAAATTTCCCATTCAATGCAATCAATCCCACAGTAAGGGGACTGGGTGGACATTCGACGAATTTCTTACATGGAATAAATGATTTAAATGGATATTAACTGAATAAAATACTGAATATTATTAAATACCCCAAAACACAAGGCTGTTTGTTACTTAAAGAATATTAAATTTATATGTTAATGTTAAAAATGGTCACTTTAGGACACCAATATTTTTATTCGTTTGTTTCTTGGTGGTTGATAAAGACATACCTATACAAACGGGCGATTTTCATGAAACAGTTGCAAAATAACTTCAGTATTTTATTCAGTGCAATATCCCCAGTGATAAAATACCAAATACGGGGCAAGGGCCGGGATTAATTGTTATATTATTATTATTATTATTATTATTTTGTTGTTATGTATTATATGTTTGCTGTTCTGTGTTCTGGAGGATTATGGTGGCTGATAATGAGGGCGTTGCTTTTTATTGGGGCCTGCATTAAATTGATTAAGATATTACAGATGAATAAAAAAAAACCACGTAGAATGTTGGTACTGTGTATAGTAGTTTTTCCTCTGAAAAGGCGATTCTTAAGCTTTATTACACCCGAACATTACGACAACTAAAACAAATAGTCTGTTTAATTTGAAATCTTCAGTATACTCAGATGGTTTAATAACTTTAAATGCAATTCGCCATTTTAATTATTTCTGATGAAAATACTATTAGTCATCAGGTTAAGATTTGTGTCAATTCATATTGGTGACAAAAAGTATTTCTCTTAGGTGGAAAAACGAATACGAGTGTATGAACTTTTCATTTTTTTACTCCTAGCTCTAGAAATCTAGAACACGCCAATTTAACAAAGGGGGATAACTCTAATTTTTAAAGGTTGAATTGTACGGGTGCTAAATTGAATGTCATACAAAAGAGTAATACTTATTAAGAAATTGTATTGTTAATAATTAATAATGAGCTGAATTAGAAAATAATTTTATTTCGTAAAATAAAACATTGTTGGGTTTGTTTTACCTCTAAAGGCCAGCGCACAACAAGGGTTATTTGCTCACCTTTTCCATCAACAAAACAACATATTCATTTCTACTCTAAAGTAGCTAAGTCTTTAACTCAATATCATCAAAGATCCTCGACATTGAAAACACGAATTATTTGTCAATTCAAATCAACATTGGTATTGTGATCTTACAGGGAAAAGTTGGGCTTCTGATATCCAATATTCAAGACAAAATAAACATTTTATCATTGGTACACGAATCGTGTACCATAATGCGTTTCAGCGCCATTTGGAACAAGGGACTCAAAGAACAGGGCTAGACATATTCCACAAGTCATGTCAAATGGTGACGCTATATTCTTATCTGGAGAGCATGCGCAATAAATACCATCGGTGTAGACTGAAAAAAAACAGCCGCTAAAGATTGCGATTCACATAAGACTTCTGGCGTATTTCGCCGAACATAACTGATTAGAAATTGCAGTAAAAACAGAAACGAATGAATGTAAATCAGTTTATATACATTCATATTACATTATTATATGCGTTGCGACCCATTTTTGTCAATTTCTAGGTCCCAAATATTAGCGATTTAGCCCCTTCACCGTTGTATTGTTGGAGATGGTCTGTATGAAATTAGTACCTTCGCCGTTACGTGTTGATGTTCATTTAAAAGTTCATACTAAACCAAACTTAAGAGCGCGCATTTAGCTTGTCGGCGATGAAGTGTCGATCAATGCTATCTATATACACCTTTGAAATAATTCTCAAGCTCTTGTGCGACCATCTCGGACCATCGCTATATCTAATATTACGGCCACTCCTTTTTGTCTTGTTTTAGATTCAGCAGCTGGTCTAAAATTGGGCTTCACGGTATATGTAAACCGTAATCTTATCATGTTGTGTAAATAAACACAAAAACTCTGGAAACCGTTATGCTACTAACCTATGTTTAACCATCCGTTCTAAAATTATTACCGCCTAGAAGGAGATAATAATAACGAAATAAATCGCCCGGTAAGGAGGTAAACGGCTACCCGTTTTTCCCGTTCGGAAAATTTATGACTTCCATCATATGGACATAAAGGCACACTTTCCAGAATATCGGTTATCCATTATGTCTTGAAATATTTTTTTCTTTTGTCCCTGTCCCTGGATATAAAGCATCCTTGTGCGTGGTGGACGTATGTTTCTTTAGGGTGCGGGTTGGGGTCTTGTAAATTGACTCTGTAAGAAATAATTTTGTCAAAAAACAGAAAAATTCTGGCAGCAGATTTACCAGATTTTTTTTTCTGTAATTTTTATTCTGTTTGTTAAGTCACAATAGCATGTTTCTGTAAAATTATAGGAAAAAAATCTGGTAAATCTGCTGTCAGAAGATTTTCTGTTTTTTAACATAATTATTTTGATTAAATATAAACAAAATCATCTGTAAAAAATAATTTATTTTCTGTAAATGTAATTTTTAGTCATGAATTTACAAAAACATTAAAACAGCGCAAGAAATTGTACATGGCTTCAAATTTTGTGATTTCTGGAGGCTATGTTTATTACTTTCTACCGTATCTTCTTCCATTTGCAATTTTGTTAGCTTCAATAAAAACCTGAAACAAAACGATGAAGCACATACAAAAACATGAAATTAAAAGGTGCTAACTTTCCTGCATATGTCATGGAGTATGGTATCCTATCGGCGACATCTTGCCAAGGCAGCGGAGATATCTGTTTAGGGCTTACGGTTCTTTAAAATGTACAGTCAATAGCACACAGGGCCCCTGTTGTTAGTCCAAAATGAACAGATTCCAACTTGCATCACTGGCAAGGGAGGACAAGTTGCAAAACAGGGTAGCTTTCGTGGCTAATGGTAAATAAGCCAGCATCATATTATAGTAGCGTGAATTTTGACTCAATAGTAAATGTTTAATACGTCGTGCTAATCCGCACAGTATTACTTAATTCAGTAAATTATATTTTTATGGATCTTAATCCACCTTAACTTGCTACACACGTGTCTTGGGAGATCAACTTAGATCACATACCTAAGGACAGACCTTATTTAACTGTATTTAGATATTTGGAGACATAAGTTGATGTCAATTCCAATATCCACATTGGAGCTTATTTACTATTAAGCATTGGACCAATAATTGTTATATTAATTGTCTGTTGTGATATTTGTTGATTACTGTTTACCAAAGAATATAGAGAACTATTAACAACCATCAACAGTCTTGTCTTCATTTCATCAACAACAAAGATTCCAGAAAATACACAAGAATTGCACTTGTACAAATGGTGGAGATAGGTGATTAATGAAATATATAAGACAATATGAAGTAGATATAAATGGTGGGTAATTAAGGTGGATTAAGATCCATAAAAATATAATTTACTGAATTAAGTAATACTGTGCGGATTAGCACGACGTATTAAACATTTACTAATGAGTCCAAATTCACCCTACTATAATATTCACTGACCCATCGCGTCTCATACACATTGATATTATTTATATGGTCGATTTCATATATTTCTACAAGATGAAAAAAACGGCAAACAGAATAGACAGTACCGAGACTGTGTCTTTAAATCCAATAACATACTCAGTATCTACCTATGCTGTAGATTTGCCTTCACACCTGTATATATTATTAGGAAGACTTACCTTCAGATATTATTGTTGATTTGCTTCTGTTATTTATTTTCTTTGCATTGTCAGCAACGCCATAATTAAAGTATACGACGCGCATGCGTTAACTAAATCCACCATAACTTTGTGAAGAATCAGAACAGTGCCGTTAATATACAAGTTATTCTGGAATATTACAGGTCTTTTGATTAATAATACAATTTACATTGTTAATAAACAGTTTCTGTCAGTTAATATACTGAAAAATATGTAAAAATACAGACGCTTCTGTCCAAATACAGAAATGCAACTAAAACAACAGATTTTATGGTAAAAATACGGATTATTTATCTAAAATCACAGATATTTCTGTGATAATACGGATAATTTCCTTCAAATAACAAAAAGTAGGGATTTAAAAAACAGATATTTTTTACAGTGTATAGCAAAAGCCCCGTGTTGATCTTTATGTCCCCATGGAGTGTATAAATTTACCTCCTTATGGGCCGATTTATTTCGTTATTATCATCCCCTTCTAGGCTCTAATAACATTGTAGCCCGATTCGGTTTGTTACATAATTCCCATCCGTTGGATTTTCGGGTAGAAATCATGGAATAAGCATTATTTTGAAGATTTTGATGTTTAATGACAAAAAAATTCAATGTTGATAGGTCTTCATATAATATCCAAAAAAAGTAGGGGATATTTGATTTTGGGGGCATAATACTAAAATATGCAAATGACTACGAAAAAAGTCACTATAGAACCTAACAGAAGAAACATTTCCAGTTACATGTGACGCCCAAACGCACCAATAGCTACCGCATGGAATGCAGGTGATGCTTGGGATCATCATGGGGGTCCAACCCAAGATTTGCACGACTCTGACTTTGAATGTTACAGTCATTGTGGCATTGAATTCCAGGGTGGAAACATCAGTTTAATTGTTTTAGTGACCAGAAAACAAATTTTGATATGCGTCGGCTTACCCAAAATGAAAGGTTACGTGCCCTTGGCATGCTACAGATCGGCACAACACAGGCGGTTGTGGCGCGGACGATGAATGTTTCTCAGTCTGTCATAAGCAGGCTATGGTCCAGATACCGTGATACACAATCTGTACAGGACAGACCACGCTCAGGTCGACCAAGGGCGACAACTCAAGCCCAGGATCGATTTATCCGTACCTTGGCCTTGAGAAATCGTGTCATCACAGCAAATCAGATCAGCGCTCGTCTTCAAACAGACACTGGTGTGAGAGTGAGTGGCCAGACGATTCGGAATCGACTGCATAGGGGTCACCTTCGCGCCCGACGTCCTCGCGTGATCCCTTGTTTGAGAGATCATCACATTCAGGCAAGACGTCGTTGGTGTAGGGATCGTCAACACTGGGATAATCGACGCTGGAGCAATGTGATGTTTTCAGATGAGTCAAGGTTCACTGTTGATTCTTTGGACAGACGTAGGAGGGTGTGGCGTCGTCGAAACGAGCGCTTCCAAGACGTTAACGTCATCAGACATGATCGATTTGGGGGTGGTTCTGTTATGGTGTGGGGAGGCATCACTGTTGCTGGAAGAACGGCTTTACATGTTGTTGCAGGGCGTGTTACAGGCCAGTACTACCGGGACAACATCTTGGCAGTCCATGTT